GATGCTTAGATCACTGGATCGCCGGATCTTCTAATCGCAGAATGACTGGATCGATCGATATCATGATCATCGGATCACTGGATCAAAGGATCTCCTGATCTCTGGATCACAGGATCGACGGATCTTCTAAGCGCAGAAAGACGGAATCGCCGGATCTCCTGATTGCCGGATCACTGGATCGAAGGATCTCTTGAACGCCGGAAGACGAGATCGCCGGATAACCTGATCACATAAGGACCGAATCGCACAATCTCTTGATCGCCGAATCTTATAATCAACGGATGACAGGATCGTCGGATCACTAAATCGTCGGATGTTCTAATCGCCGAAAGACTGAATCGCTTAAGCTCCTGATCGCCAGATCACTGGATCGCCGGATTTTATGATCACAGGAGGAATGGATCAACGGATCTTCTAATCGCTGGAAGACGGGATCGCCGGATCTCCTGATCGCCTAAAGACTGAATCGCCGAATCTTCTGATCGCAGTATTAATGGATCGCCGGACCTTTTAATCATCACAGGACAGGATCGTTGGATCCCTGGATAACCAGATCTCCTGATGGCCGGATCATTGGATCTCCGGATGACTAAATGGCCGGATATTCTAATCGCGGAAAGAATGGATCGCTCAATTGCCTGATCATCGGATCACTGGATTGCAAGATATACTGATCGCGGAATCACTGGATCGCCGGATCTTATAATCACAGGAAGAAAGGATCGCCGGAAAAAGGTATCGCCAAATCTTCTGATCGCTTGAAGACGGAATCCTAAAATCTACTGATCGCGAGATCAGTGGATCGCTGAAAGAATAAATCGTCCAATCGCGTTATCGTCGAATCACTGGATCGCCGGATATCCTGATTGCCTGAAGACTGAACCGCAAAATCTCCTGATCGCTGGATATTCTAATCGCCGAAGCCTTGATCGCCCGATCGCCTGATCGCCGGATCACTGGATCGCTGGATCTTTTAATCGCCGAAAGACTGGATCACCCAATAGCCTGATCGTCGAATCACTGCTCGCCTGAAGACTGAACCGCACAATCTCCTGATCGCTGGATCACTGAATCGATGGATATTCTATCGCCAAAAGACGGGATCGCCCGATCTTCTGATCGTCTAAATTCCTGATCGCCGGATCTTCCAATCACCGGAAGAAAGGATCGCCGGATATCCTGATCGCCTAAAGACTGAATCATCTAATCTCCTGATCGTCTATCACTGGATCGCCGATCTTCTGCTCGCCGGATCACTGGATCGCTGGATCTTCTAATCGCCAAAAGCCTTGATCGCCGGATCTTTTAATTGCCGAAAGACTGGATCACACAATAGCCTGATCGTTGGATCACTGGATCGCCGGATCTTTTAATCGTCGTAAGATAAGATCACCGGATTTCCTGTTTGCCTGAAGACTGAATCGCCCAATTTCCTGATCGCCGAATCACTAGATCGCTGGATAATCTAATCGCCGAAGACATGATCACCGGATCTTCAGATCGTCTAAATTCCTGATCGCCGGATCTTCCAATCACCGGATGAAAGGATCGCCGGATATCCTGATCGCCTGAAGACTGAATCATCCAATCTCCTGATCGTCTATCACTGGATCGTCGATTTTCTGCTCGCCGGATCACTGGATCGCTGGATTTTCTAATCGCCGAAAGCCTTGATCGCCGGATCTTTTAATCGCCGAAAGACTGGATCACTCAATAGCCTGATCGTTGGATCACTGGATCGCCGGAAGAATGGATCGCCGGATCTTCTAATCGCCGTAAGATGGGATCACCGGATCTCCTGTTTGCCTGGAGACTGAATCGCCCAATTTCCTGATCGCCGGATCACTGGATCGCTAGATATTCTAATCGCCGAAGACATGATCGCCCGATCTTCTGATCGTCTAAATTCCTGATCGCCGGATCTTTCAATCACCGGAAGAAAGGATCGCCGGATATCCTGATCGCCTGAAGACTGAATCATCCAAACTCCTGATCGTCTATCACTGGATCGCCGATCTTCTGCTCGCCAGATCACTGGATCGCTGGATCTTCTAATCGCCGAAAGCCTTGATCGCCGAATCTTTTAATCTCTGAAAGACTGGATCACTCAATAGCCTGATCGTTGGATCACTGGATCGCCGGATCTCCTGATCGCGGCATCACTGGATCGCCGGATCTTTTAATCGTCGTAAGATAAGATCACCGGATCTCCTGTTTGCCTGAAGACTGAATCGCCGAAGACATGATCGCCCGTTCTTCA